ATAGCGCCACGACTGCTGTACACCAACGGTAACGGTTTAAAACGTAGCCTCTACCGAAAATTAAAAGAAAAAAGTTTGGACGGTCTGGATGTCTGGTTGCATGTAACAGAGCAACCTACTCTTGTCTTTAGATCATAATTAATGGTTTTGTGACAAATGATAAAACACCAGTTGATTGTTGTGACACATTTTCAAACGATAGGGTGGACAGTCTCTAAGCCAGTCCTAAAATAGACCGTGTAAAAATAAACATAGGGATGGATGTAGAGGTAGAACGGAAACCTACAACTGCAAGCAACTTGAAGGCAAGTTGGGAGAAATGTCCCTTTTCAAGATGCAGATGTAAGAAGACATTCTGGCGCACCGCATGTACAGAGATTTGAAGGGAGTAGAATGAAACAGTGACAAGCAGCATATATATACATGTATGTATACTAATAGTATGGTCACAGTGTACAAAACTAAAAACTTTGTAAAACTATCGTATCCAGAACCGAGCCTATCAAGTTCTGTGCCTGAATGGGTTAGTGTTACGGTATCACATCAGGCAGGGTTCTGGATGGTCTCCGCGAATCCACGAACGTAGATTTGCCCCAGGCACTGTTCTGGATACGCGTGGATTATCCAGAATGCATGGGTCTGGTCATGAATACAACAAAAACCCGCACTCTCCAGCTGAATTACGAAGATATTATGCGGCAACAGACACTACAATAGAAATGTACAGCGGTGATGTGGACTTGAGTAGATGAAACAGTAATATGTAGCACTACAAGTAGCAGCATTATTGCAGTGTTCAAACTTATAAACATGGTAAACCCTGGCACTGTGTAGCCTAAGTAGCAGGCTTATAGAACTGAGGGTCTGGTGGTCTTCGGCTGTTTTCTGATCAGCCCAGTTCTAAACGGGGTAAATTCAATCAGGCCGGCTATGTTGTCTAACATCTGTGTCCATAATATCACCAGGGTCCATATATAATATCGCCACCTTGAGAAATAGTGTGCTTAAAGATATTTTACTGCAACATACCCTAGGTATGTACATTTGAGATGTTCAGGAGTGCATACCAAAAGTATGTTGCAGTAAAAAAATATCTTTAAGCACACTGTTTGTCAAGGTGGCGATATTATGGACCCTGGTGATATTATGGACACAGATGTTATATGCAATCAGAAAATAGCACATAAAAGCTCCCAAAGACCCCCAAAACCCCCAGTTTTTGGCAATTGCTATGCATGGAGGCTAGGCGCTGTGGAGCTGATGAATATATGACTGTAGACAGAATCCGGCAGGGCGGTGGGTGAAGGGTACCTAATCAGGTCACGTTTCACGCGAGCTTCCCATTCTATTCCGGGTCACCGCCTCGCATTCTCCTGTCATGTCAAACCAGATCTGACATGAATGCACAAGACGGATCGATGATTCTATAGCTAGGAACTCGGTGGAAAAGGACTGAGCATTGCCAATACATCGAACTCTCTTAATTACATATGCTATATATGTATACGGTTGTAGAAGACCATACAAAAGTCACTATGCCTTTGTTGTACGTGTCACTTAAGATTATACCAAACCAGATTCGGCTGCATCGTTGGACAATCTGTCACACAACTGTACCGACCTCTCTTAAATTGTATATGCTCTATATGTATACGGATGTAGAAGACCATACGAAAGTCCCTATACCTTTATTGTACGTGTCACCTAAGATTATACCAAACTGCATCGCTGGGCAATCTGTCGCACAACTGCACGAGGCCGATGTTTCTGGGAACTAAATGAGAGGAGAAGGACTATGAATCGTTAGTGCGCCAAACTCTCTTGAAAACGAAGAATATCTCCTGGACAGTAGGCCAGACTCAAACCTGTTGCTGGAAAAAGAGTATAGATATTTACTACAGATTCTGGTCAACTGCAGATTCTGTTACTCACTGAAGAAAGGTAGTGGATGCTACTTGAAACATCTTATAGTTTTCAAAAATCTATAGCTTTTAATTTCCATTTGCATGAGTAACTGTTTTCTTATTATTACATGGGTGTCTAACCTCCATCGTCATCGAAGCATGTCTCAGAGCAGAGTTTATGCATCATTCAGCTACATCACTCGACAGCCTATTACAACTGCGACGGATGGTCTCTTAAAATCTCTCTCAAAAACGAAGACTTGTCATTATGCACAAGTCTCTAACACACACCAATTTGCTACTGGAAAATAGTAGAAATCGGACGAATAGACTGAAGAGTATGGTTTGCCACCCCTATGGTCGCCTAACTCACCCGGCACATTATTCAGTCTATTTTCCTAATTTCTACTATTTTCAAGCAACCCATTGGAGCCTGGTGGCAACTACTTGAAGGAAAATGATACTAGGTTGTTTGAAGTACGTGTTTACAGTCGGTACATACCAATTATCGTCACCCTTTAATAATATTATCTTTCAAATAGCTCTGTTAGCATTTAATTTAACATTTTAATGTCTTGGGGTGGTGGGACTACGGCGTACAGATATGTCAACTTTGTATATTCAAATGTTAATTGTACCTTTTTTGTTGTGTGGCGCTGTTAATAGAAGTTACAAACTTGAGTGCAGCGTCACACTGTCCTTGTTATGTTTTTATGTTTTGATGAATAATAAAAATTATCGTCACCGATGAACGGACTGTTCGTTGTTTTACCAATGCCGGCATCAATGGGAAGCGTGTTGTTTTATAACGTTAACATGTTGATTTATATAGTAGAGGGGATTCATTCCTCAAGCTACCGACATCTTGCACACGCAGTCGTCCCTCATCAGTAAGACATCTGGAGCCGCATAGTTCCCGTTTAGAACTTTTATTCAGCCTGTCTCACAGAGGTCTTACATAGGGACGACTGCGTGTGCGAGATGTCGGTAGCTTGAGGAATGAATCCCCTCTACTATATGTTAACATCTTGAAATTTTGTTTAAATAACGGTTAACAATACTGAATTACAGGCAAAGTTTCACGATCGACCGCTTACTTTGCCATTTTCCTCAGACATGGGGCCAGATGACGGCATCAATGGGGTTGCGTGTATGTTGTTTTAACAATGTTAACATCTTCATTCGTTCAAAACATCGTTTAACATTATTGAATTACATTATTGAATCACGATCGACCGCTTACTTTGCAATTTTCCCCTGACACGGGGCCAGATGACGGAAACCTGATACCGGACACCTGATAGCCTGGATGAAAAGATAGGGCTGTAGTTCACTGTGATTCGTGCTTGTTGTTGACCCAGTGTAATCAATACTCCATCCGCAGTCTCTGCTAGATGTGGACTCCTCTGCCGGAAAAACCATTGCCACTGTCACAGTTATGACAACATGCTGTCCAATAATGTTGAAAGCAGGCACAACAGGAATATCGTGTGGTGATGTACTTACGCCTGTGTAAAACAAAGTGCGAACGAGTAATTTGTTATTGGTACTCAGAAGATGGACAGCTAACATTACATGGCACTGCTGTTAGGGTATTCAGCATGCTGTGCACTGTGTGAGGTACTCCTATAGCCTGGTAACCGTTCTCTACTGGCCGGCTTAGAGGTGTATCGTATCCAGAACCGTGCCCATCTTCTTCTTCTTCTTGATTACTCTCTAAAGACCCCTACAGGGGTATCACTGAGAGGGGGGGGGGTTACGACGGACTATGGCTGCGCGGCCAGGAGTCCGGCCTTAAAGGCCTCCACTGTCTAATTGTTGTCACCATCTAGTATCAGACACAATTCTGGACGGTCTTCGCGTATCCAAGAATGTGGATTTGCCCCAGGCACGGTTCTGGATACGGGTGGACTATCCAGAACGGTGTTTGTGCATGGTTCTCGATAAACAATTCAGCCGTTTTGGCTGCGATGTTTGAGGCATTGGTTTGAAATGAATAAACCATTCATTATAAACAAGGTTCTGGATATACAGGGTGCTACCGGATACCGGACCCGGTCCTTCTGAGCATAGTTTCTTTTTCTTTCCGACAGTTAACGTCGGCGATGATAGCTGTGTTATGCGAGTTACTTTTATCCTCAAATTATAAAAGTGACACATAAATTGTGCTTCAGAAGCCATGTGATTACTCAATTTCACCAATTTGATGGTGTCTTGTCAACTTAACACACTAGCTGTTCGTGCCTCTTTTATTTACACAAACAAGCTCATATAACAAAGCTATCGATGAAACTGTCTCACTGAAACAGGAATATACAAAAAAAGGAAATAAAGTCATGATCTCGACGATTTAAAACACTATTGAAAATGATTTTAGCCTGGTTGCCATCATCCGTAGTTCACCGCCGGCCCTAATCACCGTGGGTAGCCAGTGACAATGTAGCCATGCTATATATCATAAGGGGGCTGTTTGGAAAGCTTGTTAGCAAGCACCCTGCATGTCGTGTACGGATATAGCGTTTTAAAACTTTTATAAAGACATCTTTTGGAAGCCGGCCATGGGACCACTTCTGCCATCACGTAATTAAGTTTCGCCCCTGAGAAAGATCAGAGAACTGTCTGGTGAGGAAAGCTTGTTAGCAGGCACTTTGCATTTGTGCACGTACTGTATGTAGCGTTTTAAAACTTTATAAATACAGTAGTCCATCGTCTTTTGGAAGTCTGCCACAGGTTCGCCTCAGCCGCGATGTCCGTACTTGATCGCGGTGTCAGCACAACATGCTGGAAATAACCAGCATGACTGCCGGGGATGTAACAAAAAAGGTGGAGGTCAAGCCATAATACGTCTTCCGGCATACCTTCACTCATAGCTTCATAAACACTGAATACAGACAGCACCCTTGATTACATGATAAAAACTCCTGCTTCGAAAGCAGAGGCAAGTTTCCTACCTCCCATTTACCACCACAATGTACTACATACGATTTTTAAGGACGGTAAACCCTCAAAATGATGTTTTATAGACCTGAGGTACGTGAAATTGGCACGACATTGGGCATATGCAGTTATATTTGGCCTCTACAAAAATAAACGTGTAGCTTACCACCGTGTAATATTTAAAGAACCGGGCTGGGGGACAGCCACTTAACGACGGTGATCAAATGGCTTCGGATGCACACTGTAGGTGTCACTTCTCTACTGTGACAACTACTAATCATGTCCGCATGTCGCTTTGTGCTTGCCTAAAGCTACGCTACGCTGCGGCTTTGCGCTTTTAGAAATCTACCACGAACGCTTGACTGCTTGGCTTGAGATGTATTCAATCATGTTCTTATCTCGCCAAAGTCAATTACGATCGTAAAATGATACTAGTCGACTTTATCGACCACTTTATGGTGATCTGCCCGTGTATGGTCGAGTTTATGATCTTACTTTTAGGATATCGGCCAGATTTAACGGTGGGCTTTTCAGGCTAGTAGTCAGCGGGAGATTTTATCGGACTGCGGCAGCTCTGCAATCCTTACGCTACTGATAAAACCGCGCTATTTCAATGTTAAACAAACTGGATAACAAATGTCAATCATCTAAGCGCAACTACTAGCTGGCTGATTATTATAAGCTTCTAGTAAAGGTAACTATTGAACTGACGCAACTGCTAATCTCCAAGCAGATTCGGGTGGGGGGGGGACCACGGGATTTTATGTTGGCTGCCTGTGTCCATCGTCCACCCCACGTGGGCCAGGCGGCCAACATTAAGTCCCCTGGCCTCACCGAATCTGCTTGGAGATTACGCAACTGCCTCCATCGTGGGCAACATATTGGTGGTCTTCACAGATGTACTGTTGAGCTAGCTGTCATCATCAGTGAATTACAGCAATTGAGTAGTTTCCGGAAGTCACCAAGGTGTGATGTTCGAATATATATGTCAGTCAGTCTCTCTAGAGACTATGACTAACTGCGCAGGTCGAACAGGATGGCTCATTCCTATCTACATCCTAGCTAAAGGCAAATAAGGTTGATAGTTAAGGCAGTCCAAACGTATAATGAACGGCACAGTGTCGGCCGATAGCCCAGTTTTCATGTCAGGAAAAAGTGATGTACAGTAGCAGCACACAGTGGATAACGATGATGATGATTTGTTTCTGATACCCCCTTGAGCTCACCCCCCCCCCCCGACATGTACATGTGGTGATGATGGTTACCAATGCTGTGATGCTGTGTTTCTCTTCCAATGTCCCACTGCAGCTGCAGAAGTGAAAGATGTCTGACTACTATTGTTCTGTTTCTGACCACCACCAACCCCCCTCCCCAGACACGTACCTACAATAACAATGTTATTGTTGTAGAATAACTGACTACCATTGCTTTGTCTCCACCCAGACACGTACCTGCAGCGCGCCCTGAAGCGCCAGGTGCGCTCCCTGCGGCGGATCTGTAACATGTGCGTGCTGGGAATACAGAGGATGAAGCAGATGCAGATCAGGATCGACTCGCTATCGTCAGTCAAGAAAATGATCGCATGGCACTGAGCAGGAATAGACTTGTAAGTAGATATCATTTACTGAATGAATGAACTTTATTGCTCGACAGTTGTACATGGTACAATGTATGGCATCAATAACAATGTGATCAATACAATCAAGTTTATATTCTAAGAGAGACTACAAGTATCACTACAGAAATATGAACGTAAACGGCGTAAACATGATACGAGTTAGGCGTTGCTATCTGTTACAATAATTTTGTAATGCACTACATATATATTGGCCTAAGTACTTGTTCAGGCGTTTGCGATCAATGGCTAAGGGCGAGAGAAAACAGTTACCCATTGCATATTGGCAAGCGACTGGATAGATTTTGAAAACTGACAGCGTTTAAAAAACCTATCTAGGTCCTTGAGTTACTGTCTTTGTGTATCTCATCACCTGGTTCTCATCGACGAATGCTTACTGAAGTCAAACTATGAGCCAAAGCTGTCCTAACTTTCCTAACCTATCAGTGACAGTCACGAGTTTTTGCCATGTTTAATCAGTTTTCCAGCTCCTCATATACACAAATGTATGTGTATTGACAATTGCAAGTTCTGTAAGTTTTTTTTTTTACTGAAGCTGACGAAGACTTACGGATGTCGCTCGAAATATCCAAATTTGTCCAGTAGTCGAGTTGAATTGTCTCGGAGTATTTGCCAGAGCATTGCCTAGGAATATTGCATTTTGGCTTCACAACCTACAATTTATTGTTTGGCCTTGAAATGTTAGAAAGTCAACAGACTTTCTGAATCGTTCACGAACTATTCATCAACACGTACAAGGTCTACCTCACGAACCACTTGCATTCCTCGCATACTGTGGCTGTGTTTTTAGCTCATCTTTCAATCTTCTGCATGTGCCGGCAACTTGTAATCCAAATCAACGAGAAGTCCTGTGTAAACTAACCCGATGAAATATGTTTTAAACCTGTTCGCAATCTGATATCAGTTTACCAAAGGGGGAATGCAGCCAATAAAATGGCCATAAATCCTTCACTGTGTCCCATTACGACAGCTAAATGTGGTCGTTTATTTACTTTTTACTGTATTTGTTACTATTTTGAACGTTCCTGGCAAATTCCAGTTCACTGTCAAAACACCCACTATCATCCAAACTGATCAACATCAAGATCTATGGCGTCCAGAGTGGCGTACGTCCCCAAGATTGTCTTAGATTCCAACAACAATCAACCTTGACAACATCCTCTTCATCACTTTCCAGCATCATTTGTCTTCCGGATGAAGCAGCTTGTTTATTTTGGATCCCCGCTGAGACTAAAGATAAACTTTCTCGTCTCTAGAATGACTGACAAACTATTTTGACCAAGACGGCGCGGTCACATCACAGTCGTCGTACGTAGGTCGTCGTAAGGTTTTGATGCCGTAGAATTTTCAAGCAGAATGTTACAGAACCAACTGCCGACAAGGACCTAAGGCAGCATTCTCCGTAATAAGACAAGTGAATTTTGTAGGACACGTACATGACTATGTTAAGAATGTCCTCCGTTTGCGATCGTAAGACGACGTATGTGAACGGAACTTGTGCCTGTTCCTGACACCCAACTACGGCAAAACTACGACCGATCTTGCAATATCGTCATTGTAGATAGTAATTCACAAAGTTAATCTCCAAGCAGATTCTGGGAGGCAAGGGGAGTCTATATTGGCCGCCGCCCGTATCCATTGGCCTGACCTCCTGTAACTATTGGCGGCCAATATAGACTCTACTTGCCCCACTTTGTGTACTACCATCTACATTTACGATGTTGGAAGATCTGTCGTAGTTTTGCCCTAGTTAGCTTTCAGGAACAGGCACAAGCTCTGCTCACACTCTGCGTGGAGATTAACACAAAGTAGCATCCCTACGTCGTCGATGCGTTTGCTGGGTCATATGAAAGATGGCCTGCAGGGGGGGGGGGTGGTAGTGATTACGAATGACGCAAAATTTTCTCCGCCGATTACAAATTACGTTAAATTCTCAAAGCTGATTACGACTTTACGCTTTGCGGCTAATGTACTATTACGAATTACGTTGATTTTTTGGGGGAGGCTGCCAACGGATTACGAAGTCTAAAAAGGACTGATAACCTTCACCTTCACCAGTCCCATATATAGCAGTCAGATGACTGCCTTCGGGGCAACAAGGACTGATTACGCCTTAGGAAAAAGGGCATGCAGGCCCCCATGAAACAGCAACTGCCACGCGCGGACCTGCTCCAACTTCACAGCAGGATTAAGTCCGGCATGGCTGAGTTTAGAGATTATTCCTGTTGTCAAGACACCGGCGCTATTTTAGTCCGGAGGTCTGCCACAGGGTGTTATCAGTCGGCGGGGGAGAGGCAAAACAATCTGCAGCCAGGAGCACGGACCGGATATTTTTGCCACGAAAGATACACGTGTCGTAAAATGTAAAGTGTAAATTTAGATTAACATGGAGTGAGCGAAGCACATTTCAGTTGGCAAGATCAAACTCTGGCTCAGTCGGCTTCAGTTGTTCGTTGGCCAACGATTACATAAGAGGTATTTTTGAAAAATTGCCTCCCATCAGAACACAGCTTAGTCATTGGAATACTGTACACTCGGTAAGCGTCTATGAGAGTCATAACGGTTGGATTACGCAATGGTTACCCTGAAATGTCAGTAGGCTGCTAAAAGCGTGATTTAGCAGCCTACCCAGCCAAAATGCATCTTAAGAGGAAGCTGCGTGATGTTGACACGTGTGATTTATGTTTCAGGTCGAGAAAGGTGCCGGGTTGGAAGCGGGAGGCGGAGGAGACGTTTCGAAAATGGGGACGAATGTAACAACAACAACACAGACTGACGTGGTGTCGCAATGTGGGGTGTCACGTTACACTCTGCATACCGGAGGACATTGGAGGAACATCGGAGTAGACTTTCTCTATGTGAAGAAGACTTTTATAGAAGAGACGATCAAGTTAAAACTGTTTCTTCTTTGTTTTTTATGATGAATCATTTCCGTTATTCATCGATCCCCCTTTTTGTATATCAAATATAGCTAGCTATACGGCGACTTAAACGAGCGACAAATACAAGGGATATTCGTTAACAGTTTACTTAATTCATTGCCTATTGGAGATGTATAACCCAGAGGGCCTTTGATGCGAGCTAAAAGTTGAAGAAAGGTGGGAGCAAATGGCTTAATACGCACTAAAACAAGCAGCAGCGAGGATGGTGTTATGAAGCAAGGGGAGAAATATTGTTGGCTGGTCGGTTCGCTTTCACGCAGATGCTGGATATGAGAATAGGAGTTGTACGTTAGAAGCTGAAAAGACAGACAGGCAAAACAAATGCAGCCACATCAAATTGGACTTAGTTGAACAAGGATACGTTAGGATAGAATGAGAACATTTAAACACGGTGTCGCTGATAGTGCTATATATACCTTTCTAGATATACGTTTTTGCATGTTTAGACTTAAGTTTAGTAATATGTAAATATGCAATAATTTTCATGCCTTTACACAGGTACATTTGTGTCGTAATATCATCAGCTACAACAAAATGGTAGCCTCCACCAGGCTTCAGAGGCGGATAGAAAGAGTACAAATTGGCCAAATATACAGATATCATACTAGGGAAGATGGACCGGCAAACTGTACTGTTTTAGCTGACCAACTGTCATGTTATCTTGTCTATTGGGCCATTTTTCGCTCTTTCTAGCCACCTCTGAAGCCTGTTAGAGGCTAACAAAATGGACCAAACTGACAGTGTGTAAATATAGCCTCGCTCCCGGCCCGGTCTGGCTCGATCTGTCGAGGCAGACCGCTGAAACTCAAAACACACGACAAATAAACACGGAAATTGGTAGAAAAGATCATACTTTTCACACAGAAGGCGATTCCATTTGATACCTGACACCTGAAACATTGTTGGTGAACGTGAAGTTACTGATGTATTTTTCGCACTGGCTGCGATCTGGTCGTTTCTAAAGCAATGATGTACAATCGTGATCAAATCAACCGTCGAAGAGTAAAGTACAAAGGCACATAATCGGTCTTTACAAAGCGCAATGTACAAGTCATCACATTTTACAGACAAGAAAACCCCGAAGAACAGTGAAAACCTTACAACGGTTGCTTGAACCAATGAGGTTATAGGGAGCTTGAACAGTTGTTTGTAACATTAACAACGGTCAAAACTGGTCAATGTGAATGATTTCTCTAGGCAGAGCTGTTCAATACTTAAAATAAACAAACGAAACATACGCCACAAACTTAAGGCTTCTGTTGATTGTGATAATGTGTGTATGTGTGTATGTGTATGTGTATGTGTACACGTGTGTGTGTGTGTGTGTGTGTGTGTGTGTATTTATGTGTGTTTGTGTGTGTGTGTTAGCAGTGGGTGTGGAGTGGGGAGCAATTGCATCCAGAACCGTCTAGCCTATCAAGGTCTGTGCCTGAATGGGTTTATCAAGCGCGGTTCTGGATAGTCTCTGCGTATCCAAGACCTTATAAACGGGCCTCAGGCACGGTTCTGGATACGAGAGGACTATCCAGAACCTTGCCTGAGCATATGGTTTTGGATAAAGCACAATTCTGGATACAACAGGAACAATCGGCTGTCATTTTACACCCTCCACCTTTGCTTCTACTGTACAGAGACCATTTTAACAATGATTCATTACCGCACAGTTCATATCACTTTCTTCTGTCAGCCTAAAATAAATGACACTCCGGACATGAGATCTGGCTCTGACACGCACATGTATCCTCTCGTCAGCCGTGCCACGTCCGTTTTGGGAACAATCTACCCGGCGCGCCGGGTATGTGGTCTGTCCCCAACATTGTACATGTGATAGGGACAGACGGTCGCGGGTGGTCTGTCTGTCTGTCTGGTACTGGTATATTGTTAAGAGCCTATCAATGGCAAGCATATCAATGGTTTATTTGCGTTAAAAACACAACAACACTGTCCCAAAAATGGCAGCCAGGGGCTGAATTGACACGGGGAAATTACATAAACAGCAAACAGTATAAAACGTCATATTAAACAATTTAAAAAGTAATAAACCATTAAATTAAATGTATATAAAATATTGTCAGTAAACGTTTACAAGTGCAAATAACATTTCAGATAACAATACCGACGGACAATGGTAACACTAAAATAAGTCTTAGGTCCAAAAAATGTGACAGTGTTACATTGTACATGTTAAGCAGGCGGATCATAAAGGTAAGGGCACTATTCTGATAAGCATCAGTAAATTATAACATATGTCATAACGCTTCCCCCAGATCTTGTTAGGATATACACTGTTGCCTTGCCAGAAATGTAAGAAAGCCCGATGACACACGGCATTTGAGTAGCCTCGGCGACTCTTGGAGGGCATCTTTTGCTAGTAGTCAAACTTATGTAGTTATAAAGTTATATATAGGCCCCACAGAAGTGATGGGAACATCCATTGACCGAGGTGAAGTAAACCTAGCGTAACGTTTGCGCCAAAATTACCCAAAACGCTGCAAAATGACCGTTTTCGGTAATTTTGCTACAAATGGGGATGCTAGTTTTACTCCAGCAGCACCGAACATGCAAACAACATGGCGGCCGGCTGTGTGACAGAGCACGATCCAGTAGAGTTTGGTCGCGTTGGTGAGTATTGAGTGGGATTTGAAAATCCCCAACCCATCCATTTGTGAGCTAAGAGAGCAGGGAAGCTCAGGGGAGCCCCCAGAAACCGGGGCGAAAATGGATCATCGCGCAGCCAACGGTAGATGTTTTGTGAGCCAGGGCTTATAATTATGTACAAGGCTGCCAGCAAAATACGCCCGGTGTTGAGCCAAATCCTTGAGCTGCCACATACGTGGGAGGTCAGGTGTTTAGGGCTAGGCTTAGAGTTAGGGTTAGAGTTAGGATCATTGTTAAGGGCTACGGTTAGTTAGATTAGGTTCAGTCTCCCACATCACGACTAAACCCCTCCCACCCCTTGTCTCAGGTATATTGGAAACCCCAATTAAGTAGTGTCGGAGTCACGCATTTGGCAGGATCATGTATATGGCTTAACACCTGTTCAATAGTCTGTGCATATGTCAGGTAAATATGTCTTCTATAGCAAAAGTTTGATCACATCCAGGTGCTTGTGGAAATGGGAGGTAGATTCCAAGACTTTGCACAACGGTTATAGATGTCTCACCAGTCAACACGTAAGCATCAGTACGACTTACGGAAAACGGTTGTATCCAGGCTACTTGGAGTGGTTTAAGTGCCGCTACAAAATCTTTAATGCAAACCAACGACCAGTTTTTATGGCACACAACGCTCACTGTGAATGCAAATGTCACATTAAAATCATATTACTAAGCCTTTTTATGTCCATTAGTGGGGGGTGGCGATGCCCAGGATTAACCTTATGTCAGGACATCTTTACTGGCTAGATATGGCCTAGGGGAAAAAATCGTGTTTCCTGTTTCAGTCCTGACACAAATTGGGGTCGGTATACGTAGGTATGTAGGGGTTATCTTTTTCATTAAACTTTGGCCATCTGAAATGATTAAACTTACACAAATTACAGTTTAACAAAGAAACGTTTCGTGAGGACACTTATATTTTAAATATCAATGTTGGAAAACCGATTGTACAGTGTTTCATCACTCAGATGTGAGATCACGGAGCTAGAAAAGGAAAATCAACCCAAAAAATGATGTCCCTTGCAGGGGTCCACCAAAAAAAGGCTAGGGTCGTCAGATTTTTCTAGGGTCGGTCGGGAAAAAGGAAGCACAACATTTTTTTGCTGGGCCTAGATCAGCGGCATGGGCGCCGTGCTGAATCGTACATGTAGGGAAACGGGCCGCCTTGTACATGTACGTCAGTGACGGTCGTCCCACACATGTTTAAGGGTCCGTGAGGGTGAGACATCGCCTTATGCATCTGTCAGCAGAACGCTAATGGATAGATTGTGTGGCGTGTGAGGTCGTGTGGCGTAGCGGCAGAGTGCGCGACTCGGAACTAAGAGTCCCGGGTTCGAGTCCTGACATGCCACCGATCTTAGCTCAGGTGAAAATGAGTATTGCCCTGTCATGTATTTGTCCCCTGTGTATATAATAATATAAGTTTGTGTATATAATAATATAAGTTGAAAAAACTTGAGTGTGTCGTCACCACGTCTGGTGATGACATGTTGGAATATAAAAAAAATAATGGATAGATCTTCTTCTTCTAACAACACTCAGTGGTGTACGCTACGGGGCCCCAAACAGTGGTATAGAACGCTAATGGATAGATCTTCTAGTAACAACACTCTGTGGCATACGCTATGACGGGGCCCCAAAAAGCTGAAAGGTCTGCATGGATGAGCCATTGCTTCATGGACCACGTATGTGTCAAGAGCACACTAAATAAATAGATTGTCTCGTCACAACACTGTGTCACATTGTGACAGGGTCCCACACGTGTTTAAGGGTTCACGAGGATTAGCCATTGCCTGATGGAGCACGTACGTGTGTCAGGAGGATACTAACAAACTAAATGGAAAGATTTCTCTTGAGAACACTCAGCGACATATACAGTGCATTTCGAAACTTCATGGATGCATGATATACGATGCAACATGCATCCTCGCACAGTTGCTGCATGCATGTTGTGCGTAGTCATCCTATCCTAACATTGCCATGATGCTGTGGTTCCCATAGGAGAACATCGCTATTTGTATTACCTTACTCCAACATACATGTTCAGCAAACTGCATCTAACGTATATCTCCAGGAACGAGACAATGGGCCTATTGAAGTGTACCCATCGTTTCATTTATTTGACTGGTATGTCTGTGAACAAGCTGAAGTAGGTTTGTAAATGTTGTACTTTGTTAGGTCTATCTTCCTATAGCCTCACACAACTAAAACGTTCAATTCAGTTTTTCATCAGTTGTTGAATCAGACAGAAGTAGATGAGCCTTATGTACCCATTCAGGCATGGAGCTAGATAGAAACAGTTGATACGATAGACCTGGTGGAGTCTCCACCAGACTCTTTTGCAGGCTGAATGAAACAGTAGAAATCGGCCGAAAAAGAATGTAGCTGGCCAGGGGATATGGTCCATTTTGCCACTATGGCCGACCATTTCCCCTATCAGATACGTTCTTGGCAGCCACCAGAACCAAGACGCCCAGAAACACGATGTGAAATAGCCCTGCCTCTGCCACATGCGAATTAGACTGACGTTCATGAGCAAACCAACGTACACTGAAAAAACAACATTATATCATTGGCGATGAACTTTTAAAATCATAACATCACATCAATTCGCAATAATTGAAACTTGCAAAATCATGCCCGAAGGCTAATTGCTTTTACAATCAAGTATAATACTCATTGCAATACAGTAACAGGAGACAGTTAACAATCTGTCTGGAAAAACTTCTACTTCTACTACTACGCTAGCTATGACCAGACTAGTTGTAACAACGTGGCTTAGAAATACTAAAATTTAGTCAAATAGGAAAAACAATTCGACAATCATTGCCGAATGCCATAATCCATAACCTTTTAAAGGCCCACTAAAGGCCAAAGCTGTGGTTCAGGGTAAGCATCTGACAGCCACTAGCACCAGGACGCCCAGAAACACGCTGTGAACCAGCCCTGCTGCCGCCACGCGCGGCCCGGATGACGTGATGACCGGGCGGTAGTTCGGCAGGTCACTCTGGATGTTCCACTCGTACTTACAGTAGCTGGGGCCCTGGGGCTGCGCCGGGATGCCTCGCCTGGGAACGAAACAAATATGTGTAACAACACAAGTAGTCTCCGCACCAACATTTTTTTATTCAGGTGACGATACAATACACACATAGTGGGGCGTACTCAAGTTTACAAAACTTATCGTAGCGCCACCACTAAACAAATACAGTGTAGATACAAATAAATAAAGAACATAACATTGAAGTAATGATAAGGATACAAACTTAAAAACATGGTAAGCTTAAATACTAATACTAACAAGGTGTGTTGGAATAAGACAGTTTCAGGATGGGGCCGGCCCAACACATGGGTCTTTCCAATCTCTTTGAACACGTTGCGGCCATGTACAGAACACGGACTTTTCCTTTTAGTTATGAACACCACTTTCCTATCACTTTTTCCTTTTTTTATCACTTTACGGAGCACCCTCACCCCACTGGCCGCATCTGTCAAAACCCTAGCCTGGATGCCCCAAATGGAGCTTGGCCTAGTATAGAATTGATGTAGGCGTAGATCTATCATGTACGTACAATGCACGGTATTTGGGTGGTTTTAAAAGGCTGTCTAGATCTCCCAATACCAAACGAACAAGACGTCGCAGATTTCAGACGTTCGGAAAGTATTCAATCCTCGGGTTAACTTTCCCCAATGTTGCTCGCACAGGAAGATTCTGAGACTTCCACGTCCACCCCTTTTCCTGAGTCTGGTCCTTTGACCTCCTTCATTGTCATCTGACTTTCAATCTTTTCCACCCATCGTTGTCAACCTTCTCTGTCCTGACAATTAGGCCACACCGACTTAATTTTATGGAGGACATCCACGCGCGCATTGATTTTCGCCTGTTCTAAAAGAAATCACGTCTGGTATGGCTCTAGGCCTGTGGGCAGTCCATGGTAGTTAGCGACAATACGGAGCCGGTGGTTACCCTGGAGGATGGCACCGATGGCCAAAGCTCCACGACTCAAGAACTCAGTACATACGTACAGTGCCGATTCTTAGATTCCGCAAAAAGCCAGCATGTGCCGGCTTGTCGTGTACATCGCTATGCATATATATACTGTCGCAAATTAACAATACGAGTATTCCTGTGGTTTAGTATCATTTTTTTTTTAATTTTTGGCCGGAATCTTTTATGCGCCCGCGCGCACTAGTTTGGGGGTCTTCAGAAGATGTCATCCATAAAATTAAGTCGATGTGGCCTTAGATACACAAACCCACAAGAGGCCGTACCTGACCATCCTGCACCTGTGTTCCTCCATCCTGGGTGATGCGGCGACGGAGTCAGTCACACTCTGCGGGCTCCACAGCCGCTCTGCCACTGCACTGGCACGGGGCCTGGGGAGGACATACATGTGTATCTGTATCTGTATATGTATAGCCGGTATAACCGCCCTTCGGCGTAACACACCAACTTCACAGGAACGCGGCGCTGTGGTAGCTGGCTACATTACATCTTGTTACACCTAACCCTTGAACATCTAACTCTAACTCTAAACTTACATAACAGTTATGCGGTACATTCATATCGTATCCAGAACCGTGAGTATCTGCTTCTATACCTTGATACCTACCTACTACTAAGTATTGTGTGGATGGCGTTCAGCACTAAGGACAGACACATTTCTGTACTTAAGACAGTTGATAGGGATACGGATAGTAGAATTCGGCAAAGAAGATAATCAAATTGCCCAAGGGAGTCCGGCAGCGGGGAGGTAGTTTCTTAGCATTGTCAGACCCCAAGGCGGCCAAACTCCCCCGGCAAATATTCTCCTACATATAGCCAGCGTAGTTAGTCTGGTAGAGACTAACTTTTTGGTCCCATTGCCCAGTAGATGATTTTTTCTCATTGACGACACAGGTATCGTGTAGATCAAATGTTATCGGCCCCATGAGTGGTTCTCTTTGGCAGTTCTGGTTGTATATATTCAATAAAAATTGTAACATTTCTGAAGGAAGGAGTCCGACTTACCACATCCGAGGGACGAAGTTAGTAGAATCCACCCATTCACCCCACAGACAGGCCTCCCCACCCAGAACCAGGTCCTTCTGCTGCTGAGTCCCTGAACAAAACAAATCAGTAGCATTACCTGCATTTTTGGCACATGAAATAGCTTTGGATGTGTACTTAAATGTCTACCGTTGACTATATTACAGTCACTTTCCTTGCCACATGTATGTTTCCCAATTGGCCAATTACCCTGAAAGTCTTGGGGGTCACACTGGTAATACTATGGCCAGTCTTATTCATCCACCCATCAATGTATTCATTCATTCATTCATTCATTCATTCATTCATTCGCTCGCTCACTCACTCACTCACTCATTCATGACATACCCTGAAAGTCCTGTGGGTCACACCCGTAGTACTGCGGCCAGTCCTGTCCGTAGCTGATGTGGTTTAGGTACCAGCAGGACGACAGGAGGGCCTTGTATCCGGCCTGGGTAACTCTGGCCAGCTCCCTCGTGTGGTTCCACTCCCACACATGGACGATCGTGTTCATACTCACGTCCTACAATATGATACGTTGATGAATTTTAACATCTAACAAACAAACAAACAAATGTGAAATGTTGGAGTTTCTAAACTGTTCCATGAGATACTAACCGCGAGATCGTTACCGACGATGGCGGTGTCAAACACGTCCTGCCAGACGATCCCCCTGGTCCTCTGGGGAAAGTGATGGTAGATGATGTCAAGTATCCTGCAGGGATATACAGTATCACGTTCGCAAACGTCGATCGCTTTCAATGGTAAAGCCATACCTCCGTAAATAATTTCATCAGGTTGGTAAACGAATGAATAGCAAAGTTCTTTGATCACAACCATTTATTTTTCACGAGACGACGTTTCGAGGACCATCTGTCATCTTCATCAGGGCAATTCTGACTGGTGCACTATGCACCAAGTAACATCTAGCGTCAGTGCACAGTAAACCAGTCAGAATTGCCCTGATGAAGATGACAGACGGTCATCGAAACGTCGGCTCGTGAAAAATAAATGGTTGTGATGAATGTGTTCAAAGAACTTTGCTATTCGTAAAGCCATACCATTTCTGTCAGCCCACACCCCACCCCTACCACCCATTGCAACCTTGCTGGAAAAGTAACTTTTACCACAGCTATACTTGCACGGAGTCTATCCATGCCCATCGTGTCCAGAACCGTACCTGGACTGGCTATGGTTAGGATCAGGCAAAAAAGTCCAAGAACATAGACTACCCCCAGGCACGGTTCTGGATACGTACGTGTGGATCCAGAAGCTGGATCAAGTTCTATTCCCGAACGGGATATAGTGTTTGGATCAGGCAGGTTCCGGATAGTCTCCGTGTATCCAAGAACGTAGATTTTACCAGGATACGCGTGGACCATTGTGAACCATGTCTGAGCATGGGTCTGGATGGAGCCCGGTTCTGGATACAACTACACCCTCAAAGAGGGCAAGGCAATGACGTACAGTTCAAGTTCAATATGAATGTAAGGGCAAAGTGAAGAATTGTGTAAGACGTACGATACTGTACCCACCTTTTCATGTGGTACCCCTGCAGATCAGCGAACCCTACTGTAGTGTTAGGGAACCCCCTTTGCCGCATGAACTGTTGTACTTCCTCATTACTCATCCTGTGGGTTGGAAAAGGACAAGTCATTTGACGGAAACTTGAACGTTTTTGGCAACATTAAGAACAAAAAACACAATCCAAAAGTTTGTTTATATTTTGTTTTTTTATTTCTTTGAGTCTGTTCAAAAGATATTCAAAGCAGCCTGCTTTTCATTGAGGTCATGAGGGAAAGGGTCTGGGTCAAAATAGATCTGCATGATGGAAGAATACCCTTGGTAATGCACACAATAACCATAATCTTTAAGATCTTGGCTTTCATTTTCTTTCTTTCCATGTTTTTCCAACCATACTCAGTGGAACAAGAGTCTACATCTTACCAGCACTGAAAGTTGACCTCATCACCGCCCAGGTGGAAATATTCATCCGCGAAGACTTGCCGGATCTCCTGGAACAGCCTCTGCATGAAGGTGTAGGTCTCCTCCCGGGCAGGGTTGGCGGGGCCTAGGGAGTAGATGTCCGGCTGGAAATCCGTAGGGGAGCACCTTTAGAAACAAGCAGATACAAGCAGATACAGATACGGAATTAATTCTTTCCTAGAACTATCGCAGAGTCACCAAGTACAGCAGGGGCATTGTCATTATATAGCTTTAAACAATGTCTAGAGTTAGATGTTCAAGGGTTAGGTGTAACAAGTCGATCGATGTAATATAGCCAGCTGCCGCCGCGCCGCGTGCCTGTGAAGCTGGTGTGTTACACCGAAAGGTAGTTACACCGGCTATACAGATACAGAATGCGATTCGTTGTTGTCCCTTCTATTTCTTTCGTTTAAACATCATCAGACTGCATGTCACCTTTGTGGAGGAGTCTCAGAAAGAAGACAAAACTGTGGTTAGACAGGCAAAAAACTGGTATCATCATAACCACATCCAACATTTGGATCCAAGTGCGAAAGCTCTGACAAATGGTGGTCGTGCATTAGTAAAGAACTTGGAAGATCACGACGGGCAAACGCTTTACCACAAATGAGCAGGATGAGAAGATTAGTTATCATTTTATTGCAAATTCGTGCCCGAGGGCTAATTGCAGGAACAGAAGAAACATATGGTATGAACAACAGACGATTTAGTACGCATAGAACTACTGATAACTACTGAGAAACTACAAGTAAAAACTACTGGGTTTGACTGGGCTGAAGCCTGGATTGACAGCCAGTGTCTCCATATATTCCCGTTGCCACCCACCGATCAGATAAAATCCAAGTCCCAACCTGTGCACCATCGGTGAGGTCAAGGCTATTCTAAAAGCCACAAACACCAGGAAGTCATGTGGTTCAAATAACCTTCCCACCTGTCCACCAGGAGTTTGCCAGCTACTCCAGATCTGTTTTTTTTTAATTCCAACATGTAATCATCAGACGTGGTGACGACACACTCAAGTTTTGTCAACTTATATCAATGCCGCGACCAACACAGGGGAGGAATACATGACAGGACAATACTCATTTTCACCTGAGTGAAGTGAGGAAAGTCGTGTTAAGTGCCTTTCCCAAGATCTGCTTTTGCAGAAGTGTTCCTGTTCCACCTACATGTATATTGACCCTTGGGGGTGAACCAGTGCCAGTTCTAGACCCTGTGAGTGAGAGATTTTATTAATTAAGTAAAAGGGTCATGATCAACTGACCTTGTCAGAAGGTCCGGATGACCTTGACCCCACGACATCATGTGACCGGGGGAATCGAATTCTGGGATGACCCTGATTCCGCGCAGGCGCGCAAACTCGATCACCTTGCTGACGTCATCAGGCGTGTAGACGTGCTTCTTGGTGTATGCACCCTGGTGAACACACACTCAATCAACAAGATATCAGAGATTAAAACTTAACTTCGGGAATTAGATATGGTCTGTGTTAGTGAAGTGCAGGGATACTACCGTATCCAGAACCTTAATACCTAGTTCTATGTCTGAATGGTTAGTGTTAGGATCTGGCACGATTCTGGACAGTCTCCGCGTATCCGCGCAAGACCTGGCACGCGTGTACTATCAAAAACTGCGCCTGAGCACGGTTCTGGATTCGCACGGTTCTGGATACAACAGATACTTCATTATTTTGTTTTCTCACCTTTCCGCTGAGGTCTGGAAAAGTGGTACTCTGGAAGGGGAAGGACTGATCGTCCACCATGTGCCAGTGGAACACGTTCATCTTGTTGTAAGCCATCGCGTCCTGTCAGAAATACAAATGTAGTCAGATTGCCTTGATTAGCTGTATAATTTATAATAGTTGAATAGCCTGAAACTGTCGTCTTTAAAATGAAACAGGCAATTCATTTACATAGCAGGATATTTTAACATCGTTAACATAAACTACACAAAAAATTATATACTAGATACAGAAGAATAATCTTAGATCATCCATGTCTTACATTCTGTTACTTGCAACTGTTTTCCTAACACCGCAGGATACATCCGTGACTAGTTTCATCAGGTTGGTAAGACACTGAGTAAAGAGAGTCTTTTTACACAACCAAGTCTTTTATTCAGGCGACGTTTCGGTGACCGTCGTGAACCAGTCAGAATTACCCTGAGGAAGGTGACGCGGCTGAATAAAAGACTTGGTTGTGTAAAAAGAGTCTCTTTACTCATTGCAAGATACTCTGTAGACACTGACAAAAGAATTGTGTCATTAGGCCCCAAAGAGAAGAGAGCTCTGCTCTGACTCGTTTTATCTAAATGTGCATAATTTGGCATTGCGATCCAAGTGAACGTACCAGATTCTGCAGGATGTATGGGAGAGGTATGAAGTGCCTGGCCGTGTCTACCATGATGCCTCTGTGTGCAAACCTGGGAGAATCACTGATGGTTGTTCTATTGATCACATGCTGTAAAAATATATAAATACAATCTTTTTCATCGGTACCGGTGCAATAGCTCGCTTTGTGACCGGGAGGTCGTGAGTTCAAACCCCGGCCGGGTCATACCAAAGACTTAAAAAATGGTACACACTTCTTTCTCTGCTTAGAGTGTCAGCACTACCAGCGGACTAGCCCCCTGTTGTAGTGCCCTGCACAACAGTGTGTCGCCCAAGGGCTACGGAAATGGACATGGGCACCAAATCCCTATGCTCTGTATAGAGCACGGGTAGACCTTTTTTTCATCCTTTATTCAAATTGCATCAACAGCATTGCCTGGAGGAGAACTATGCAGCAAATCCTGCTGAGCCAAGATCATGAACAAAATGTAGTTTTTATTTTATTCTATTTTTTTCTTTATTTATTTCTTCCTCAAACATACATTGGCAGGGAAATACACACATATACATGTCTATATACCCTGAATTACGTAGGTTTGTT